AAACTAACTCTATTATCTAAATCTTTTAATAACAAAAGAATTCTTAAATTTTCATTCATTTCATCGTTATCATCATCACTTCTTTTCACTAAATCTTCTAGTTGACTAACTCTAAGTTCTAAATTTTTTAATTCTTCTTTTAAATTAGGTTTTTTGATAGTTAATTCTTCAAGAATTTTGTCATCCGAATCACCCGAATCATCTGAATCACTTTGTACACATTCTTCTTTATCTTTATCACTTCCTTTCACTAAATCTTCAAGAAGACTATTTAATTTTTCAAGAAGACTATTTAATTCTTCATTATAATATTTTCGATTATCAAATATTTTGTCAAGAATTTTGTCATCTGAATCACTTTGTACACATTCAAGAAATTCGTCATCTGAATCACTGTATTCATTAACACTTGCATTATCTTCATTCACTTTTTCATTATCACTTGCATCCATTAAACCCATTGGATACCCATTAAATACAATAAATTTACAATTATTGTCCATCTCGGTCAATGTTGCATTTTCCACATCTTTTAACAAATTTTCACCATTGTTCATATTAATAGTAACTTGTTTAGCCATTTCAATAAATTTATTAGACATCTAAAAAAATTTACAAAAAAATTATATAAAAAAAATATTAAAATGCATTTAAATGTTTTTTATCTATTGTCTATTATCACATTCTTCATTTTCTTTTTGATTAGTTTTATCATTCAATTCAATTTTACATTGTTCACTTTGACATTGATTCCCATTAAATACAATAAATTTACAATTATTGTCCATCTCGGTCAATGTTGCATTTTCCACATTTTTTAATAAATTTTCACCATTGTTCATATTAATCATAACTTGTTTAACCATTTCTATAAATTTATTAGACATCTAAAAAAAATTACAAAAAAATTATTAAAAATATATATAAAAATTATTAAAGTCCTGTTGAACCAAAACCGCCCTTTCTTTCTTCATCAGACAACATAGATTGTATTTCCATTTGACTATTTTTATTTTTATCTACTGTCCATGAAATTCTTTCTGCAAAAAATACAGGTACAAAAGTCATTTGTGCAATAGATTGACCTACAGTAACAGTATATGCTTCAATTGACGAATTATAAAGTATGACATATATTTCGTCTTTATAATCAGAATCGATAATTCCAGGCGAATTCAATACTGTTATACCGTTATGTATGGCTAAACCAGACTTGGATGTAATCCAACCTTGAAGATCTCGATCCATTTCTGATATAAAAACACCAGTAGAAATTAATATACGTTCATATGGCAATATTACTTTTCTTTCGGTACTACGTAAATCAAAAGCTGCACTTCCTTTGGTAGCATATAAAGACCATCCTTTAGTATCTATTATTTTTACTGTTTTCATCTACAAAAAAAATATTGAAAATTTATTAACAACCGTATAATAGTTTACATGTTGGACAATAACAATGAAAAAAATCATTAGGATAATAATAAACATCATTTTTTAAATAATAAATTTGACAATAATAACATTTTATAAATTGTTCATTATTTTGCAACATTCGTTCATAATGAAATAATTTATTTTGCAGCATGACGTTCATAGTTTTACATAAATCTAAATAATCACGAGCATCGTATAATTCTTTTTTTAAATCTTCTCTATCGTTTATTTCATTTTTAATTTTTTCAATAGCTCTTTCAATCTTAATACCATCTTGATCTATATTCATTAAAGTACAAGAATCAATCATTTTATAATTATTAGTTCTTATTTTATACAATGTTAAATCTGTTAAATGATCCAAAGCTTCTCGTAATTCTTTACTTTTGTTCATTTTTTACTAATCTAAAAATACAAATTTTTTTACAATGATTTGTTAATCTTTACAATGTTTTGTTATCCAATGCTTATATTTTTCATTTAATATGTTATTAATAGAACTAACTAAATTTGCTGTATAATAATATTCAAATAATAATAATTGATTAAATATTGAAGGATTAGAATTAATTGTATGCCATCGATTATAAAAATCAATAAATTCCATATTAGGAAATACTGTTATCTTGTTCAAAATAATGATTATAGCATATCTTGGTATATATTTCTGTTCGTTTTGAAAAAAATCAAACCAATGTTTATATGTTTCTAAAATATTATTACTATGATATAATCTAAAAAACTGAGCTCTGTTTTTTGCTTCCATTAAAGTAAATTTGTGCACTTTGTTAAATTGAAAATAACGTTCCATCATATCTATAAACTTTTTACAATTTAAAAATCGAAAACAATTGTCATAACATCCATGCAAATATTCAAGAAAATCGCAATAATCGTTTAGATCCTGTGACATTTTTTAGTAATCTAAAAAAAATAAAACATTTATTATTAACAAAAAAAAATAATTAACAATTAAATTTACAATTGTCCGTGTCAAAGTTTAACATTGTTTGTATTGAATGTTTCATTAAACATAGATAGCACATTCTACTATCACACCAATAACAATCATGAAAATTAGGATTTATCTTCTGACATTTTTGACATGTTAAATAAGCTAATTTGTCTTTATCTAATTTTTTTATTTCTAAATCTGTTAACGGTAAATATTTTAGTTCTTCTTCTACTGAAATTGATTTTCCTGAATCCAAATTTTTCCATAAATATTTTGATATTTTATAATAACGAGTCGATGAATCTTTATTTAGTTGTCTAATACAAAGTTTTTTTTCTTTTTCCATTTCGATTAATAAATTTATTATTTCTTGAGTCAAAAATTTTTCTTTTTCTAATAATTTTGAACAGTCATCTTTTAATTCATTTATTTTCATACATGAACTAAGATATTCATTATTTACCATTTCGTTCACAGTAATAAATCTTTCTAAACTCATCTTGCTTTGAAGTGATTCTGAAATAAAAATTCTCTCCTTTTATACAGAACTCAATACAATAAAATTCTATATTTAGATACAATTAACATTTTTTCTATTGTATTACCTTATAAAGTAAAAATATGATATCATAAAAAATTTAAAATGACACGTTGACAATTTTTTATATAAACTTGTTTTGATCTTGTTTTTTTTAATCTCTATTGTTAAAATAGAGTATATAAACAAAAAAATTTTTTCATTTTTATATCATTTGACCACTTTACAACAGTTAAAAAAAAACATATACAATAAAATGGACAACGAAATTCAAGTTAATTATTGCAATCTGCAAAATTATTTAAAATACGGTGACATGGCAGCTGCTACATTATGGCAGATTGATTTAGGAAACGAAAAAGATTTAAAAGAAAATAAATATTCTAAAGTACCAGTAAAACCCGTAGCACAATTTAATTTCCTTAAAAAAGAATTGGTTTATTCCAACTCAAGCAAAGAAGAAGTTATATTGTTGCCAGCATCTATTCGAAAACAATGCTCCCTTGCAGAAAATACATGTAATTATTTGTATAGAGCTGAAATGAAATTAAATAAAGAAGACGTTCATTTCAAAAATAAAACAGGCGATGGGGAAATTACATTTAATGCTATTTTAATTACAACTCAAACTAAATTAAATAAAAAACTTTTACAATCTATGTTATGTAAAATTGAAGAAATACAAAATAGCGGATACAATTATGCTTACAACAAACACAAAGTATTAAAATCGCAACCTATTAGTACTTTTAACGTACGAATGTTAAAAGAAGATGAAGAAATTTATTATACAGAATACGATAGACAATCTTCTGTAGAACCTATTATGATTAACACTTTACTTAAAAACGGACAAACAAGATCTTTTAATCAAAATATGAAAAGAGCTGCCCAAGATTTAGCTGGACAAGAAAGTAAAGAATATAAAAAATTAAAACAAAACGAAATTAAAGACGAAAAAAATGATGACGAATAAACTTTTTTTTATTTTTTTTAAAAAAACTTGTATTTCTATTTTTAAATTTAATAAAAAAAACCAGTTATTATAAAAAAAACGTGTTTTTTATTACCTTATAAGGTTCTAATATGAAGTCATATAGATTAATAAAAAAATATAAATACAAATCAAAATTTTTTATATATCATTTCAAAAAAAAATGACTAGCAAGCAGGTTGAACAGAGTTTAGAAAATGCATTAAAGTTGTTTTATCCAGACAACGAACTTCATCCTATGTTACAAGAATTTCATCATTTGGAAAACAGTTATGAAGATTGGGAAATTATTATAAACGATTATTTAACTAAATGGAATTTACAACTGTTATTACCAAAAGAAGAATATATTGATTTGTATTTTATTTTTATCATCAAAGATTATCAAAATCATCAAAATTTATTTGAAAAAACTACGCGTAATTATTTTCAATTTTATGAACAAGGATCTAAATGGAAATCAGACATGTATGATTTTTGTAAATTAATCAACACTGATTTTTTAAGATGTACAGAAAAAAACAAAGAAATGCATAATGTGTACACAGCAGATAGCAATTTTACAGAAAGATACTTAACATTAAAACGCAAAACTGATCATTTTATAAAAATATACAAGAAATATTATCGTAGTACTATTGACAACAAATGCACCTCTTGGAAAAATAAAATTAAATTATCATTACAATATTATTTTTTGTTTCCCTATTTAATCGAAAATCATTCATACGAATATGATTTATTAAAGCGTAACAGTTTAATTTTGAAAGAAGAGTATCCTTCTTGTTTACAAAGATTAGTATTTTCATACAATGATAAATTATTTCATAACGGATTTTTTACTTTATATACGCCTATACCCATTTATAACTATTTTAAAGTTGAAAAAGTAAAAACTATGAACGATAAAGTTTACATATACAAATCGTTTAATCAATGCAATTTTTATGAAAAATCAATTATGGAAATGTTTCCTTATGCCAATTGGTTTTATTTTTTTAAAAGAAATTTTACCATATCAAAAATTTTAAATAGACGAGACAATCGACTCTATGATGTCATTAAACAAGAAATTATCAACGATAAACCTATTCATAAAGCTGAACATTTTAATATGTATTATATTAACGCAAAGGAATGTTTATAAAAAACAAAAAACTTTTTTTTATTTTTTTATATTTACTGTATAATATGTTTTATTAACTAGAAATACATTGTCAAAACATTTACAAATTGTTTGATTTATTTCTTCACATCGGTTGTTTTCTCGAATTAAATTAACCAAGTCTTTATACTGTTCTCTTTTTTCATTATTGCCTTTTACGTGATATATAAAATCAATTAAGTAATTTTTTAACATTTTAGTTTCATATTTACAACAATGATCCATATGACTCATATTAAAAATTTCACCAACAAAATGAGCGTTACAAATTGTCTCATCATAGAAATAATTCATAGTTTTAATTTTTGGAAATGAAAACATACCAACATCAAAAAAATAAACGTTTTTATAACATTTTAAAATTGAAGCTTCCATTACACCACCTTTATACAAAACTAAATTTATTGGATATTTTATAAATTGTGTTTTCAAGTAATCGTAAATATCAGTACAAAAAATACTCTCAGAATTGTACAATAAACTTGGATCGTATGTTAATCCATGTACATATTTTTTACAATGGTCAAATGCTTTTCGATGTTTTTCTGCCAGTTTTTGATAAGTAACACACGGCCATACTTGAGCATGTAAACAAAATTCATCGTTTAATGGTCTTAAACATATTTCTCTGATACAATTTTTTCCCCAATAATGATCATTTATAGATTCATTGTGAATATATTCAGTATCTAATAACCAAATCTAAAAAAATAACAATATTTTTTAATAAAAATAAAACGCATTCTTTTTTAAAAATTTTAAAACATGTATAAAAAACAAAAAAAATAACTAATTTTTTAAAAAAATTTTTATAATTAAAAATGAATCGAGTTGACAGTATCATTAGAAAAATTCATAATAATTGCGCTGTTTGCGCATTAGATGAAATAGCCAAAAGGTATCAAACACAAGAAAACAATTCTGGAAACTCTTCACCTTCATCTCTAGTTATAGACGAGGAACATTATAAAGACACATCATCAAATGATTTTCTTGAAAACATTTTAAATTCAAAAAGAATTACATTAAATTCTTATTCTATTGAAAAATGTTTTAAAAACAGTAAATTTAAAAATTTACTCGACCAACCGCAACTATGTCAATTTCACTTGAACAAATTTGACAATATGAAAAAAGATCATCTTGACGAAAATGTTATAGCCGACTATTACAAATCTAAACTAAAAGTTTTTTTACTCGAAAGAGATGTTAAACCTGTTGTTCCATTTGAAGGTGATCAAACAGACGGATTTGTCGATATTTTTACAGCAAAAATATTACCTACCGCTTCAACCATCATAGAAAAACTAGATGGAGTTTTAAAAAAGAAATCTGTTAAAAGAAACATTGAAGGAATCATAAAAGACGGCACATCTAATAAAAAAACATTATTTGTTAACATTTTACATGCTATTGTAACATTATTTATTTCAAGTTTTTTTAGTTTAGAAAAAGAAGAATAAAAATGTGTACTAACGAATCTTTGTCTAGTTATTTTAATAATGAACCCTTTTTGAAAGACTATTTTATAGGTGTTTACGCTTTTGACGAATTGAGTCAAACCCAAACACACGTAAACATTATTAAACGAATGGTAAAAAACGGTTCTTTTTTTATTTATAATAACGAAACTAGTAAAGAAAATGGAGAACATTGGAGACTTTTACTCAAATTAGACAATAATCATTTTTTTTGTTTTGACAGTTTAGGTACTGAAAGCTGTTTAAAACAAATTCCACCTTTTTTAAAAAGTAATAGACATTTGTTTGAGTCTGTAGAAGAAATACAAACTAACATACAAATAAACACTTTGAACATTAATTATAATGAAATTGAAATAAGTTCTTACATACGACAAACTAAACACTTTCCTTACGAATGGACAGCTGATAATCATGAATTTTATTGGTTTACAAAATTTGTATTAAAATATAGTTCAATGACAGGTCAACAAACTCTTTTGTTTTCTTATAACAAAACTTGTTTTCAATGGGAAAACAGTAGTTTGTGCGGAGCTTTTGCCGCTTATTTTATATCTTTGTTACCAAACTATCTTATTAACGGTCAAATTTATTTACCTTTGTTGTGCAGATTACTGAACTATCACTTCTATGAAGTTTCGAGTCTTCATGCTTCCGAATTAGCTCAAATAAATTTGCTTCCATTTTTTCACTTTGTTAGAAGTAAATTATTTAAACACTTGGATGATACTGCTAAACAACTTTTTGAAAAAGACATGAAACTTCATCTCTATTTAAGAAAAACTGAGAGTCTGGTACGTAATAATGTAACAATGAAAACAATGAAAATTCCTATAGAAAATGATATTTTTAAAAATGAAGTCATGACCAATAACAAAATTAGAAGCTTTTTAAACGATGCTAGATTATTAAGAACAAACAATGAATGTCAATGGGATAAAATATCTATTCAAGATATCAATGCTATTAGAGATGTTATGAACGAAGAAAACCTTGCTTTAAAACAATATGAAAATATAAACGATTCATATTTTTTTAATTACAGAAGATTTAAAGATATAAATAATTTTATTGACGTGCCTCAAGATGATGTCATGACAAAAAAAGAAATAAAAACTCGTTTTGTTCAAAATTTATTATAATAAAATGTCAACAAGTATACAGAAAGCAGCTTTATGGAAAATTAATGAAAAAGTTATAGAAGAAAATTGCAACTCGTGTGCTGGAAACGGATTATTATATATTGTTAATTTAGAAGATCCGAAATCGTTAAATTACTTAAACGAATGTACGAGTACTATTTTTAACAATGAAGTTTGGCTTCTACATAAACCAACTTATGCAAAATTCGAGATAAAAACAAATAAACTAGTATGCGATACTTGTAAAGGAAAGAAAAAACTTTTATTAAAAAAAACAAAATTTTATAAAACACAAGAAAAAAAAATAAATTTAACATTGTATTATAATTTTATTTCAAAATAAATAATTTTTTTACAACATTGTTCTTTAATATACTTCAAAACTTTTATCCGCCGGTTTATATAAATTAACGGGTGGTTGAATTGCTACTGTTTTTGTTGTTACAGAAGGCGTTGATTTTTTTCCTTTCCACGCTTTTTTTAAACTATATAATAATGAACCCACTTTTAAAACATTAGTTACATTTTGAGGTGTAACATAATCTGTTAAACCACGAGCTCGTTGTTTTTGTTTAACTTTACGTGTGCGTCTTTTTTTTATTCGCTTTCTTCTAACAACCATATTGATAATGAATCCTTTATAACTGATACAAAATCATCATATTTCATACTAAATACTTTTTGTTTTTTAACCAATTCATCTTCATTTATAACTTCATATATAAAATCAATGCTAGCTATATCGTTTGAACGAGTTACTTTTATTTGATTGCTACCGTCTAAGCGAAAAAATAACTTGAAATTTCCATTTACATCTTTCAAACTATCGTTTGTTTGAAAAATTTCCAATTTTTTAGCATTATAAAATTGTAAGAGAGATTCTTTAAAAAAAGTCACGTCCATTTTTTTAAATTTAAAAAAATTTTTTCATTCTTTTATATATACCCTTTTTTTAAAAAAATTAAAAAAAACAACAGTATTAAATATATTAATTTATTATAGGTAATTCATAACCAATATAAAGATCGCCTTTATTTACATGTCTAATAGTATATAATCCAGAACGTACTTTATAATCAATAACAAATCCTCCTAAAAAAGTAGAAATGTCTGTATGTCCTTCTTTTTTATTTCCACTTATTATTTGACATAGATATTCATTAAAATATTTAAAAGTTAATATATATTCGCCATCACTTGTTACATCGGCTCTTATGTTATCGACTGTATATGTTCCCATATCTTTAAGCAATAATTTATAAAACTCCAAGTCTTCTTTAACAATGTTAATATATGTATTAATATAGCAATGATTACAATATTCTTTTCTATGATATTTTTTATCAGCATATTTACAATAACCTTGTTTAAACAAACGAACTTCACTTGATGACATTCTTTTTTGAACTAAAGTTTACAAAATGTTTAAATAACCTATTCACAGGATCAGCAAATGGATTCTCTGTTCCACCTCTTAATCTTCTAAAAACGTTACCACCACGGTGTTTTTTACCTTTAATAAAAAATTCATATTTTTTTTATTAAAATATAAAATATTTACAAAGGTGAACCCACATTTCTATACAACCACCTATCTAATTTAACAAACATATTACTCAAACCTCTTCCCATCATATTACTTATGCGTGTATGCGGTTTTAATTTTTTGTTTATAAAAATATATCTTTTTGCACGTTTATTACGTCTGTGTCCCCTTCTCATTTTTTTTTTTTTTTGGACTTGTAAAAAAACTTTGAAAAAAAAACTTATATATTTTTTTTAAAAAAAAATTTTTGTGTCACCCGACACTGTCCTTACTTAACCTGCCTTACCTAACTTATTTCTTTTTTCTTAGTAGGCCTACTTATTATTTTTACTCTGTTGTTTTTTTTACAACCGGTTGTTTGTATCTTACTTACTTACTTACTTACTTAACCTTACTTACTTAGTCTATTATTTTTTTTGCCTTACTTATGCCTGCTCACCCGTTCGTACATACACGCTCGTTCACACACGCTCAGGACTCACCGAGAGTATGCTTCTCAGTGCATATCATCAAGTATCAATGATACTCAATGTGGTTTACATATAGGACTCACCGAAAGTATGAGCTCTCAGTGGGGAACAGTCATCAAGTAACAGTGATCTCACCGTAACTCAATGTATTTAACATATAACTAACTAAGCTAACTAGACAGACGTCATCAAGCGTTCGCTCAATGTGTTTATACATATAATGTTAAAGCCGTAAAGTTATAGAGAGATTCGAACCCTGGACGATCGGTTCATGGCGGTTTACAACATAGTGCGGAAATGATACGATGCACTATGCTACGTCGACGTGTTGTTTAAGCGTGTTTTGAATTCATTTAAATTGTCATTTTAACACTTTACGTAGAGATTTTTTTTCTACACAGAGATTTTTTAAAGTTGTTTACGCACATTATAAGGGAAATTCCCTGAGAAATTCCCTATATAATCCTACGTAAAAAGCAAGATTAAAAATTTCTAAATATAACTTGTTTGTTACAAAAATCAATTATTTTACTTAATCTATAAAGATTAAATATTTTTTATATAAAAGCTGCATTTTTTTATATCAAACATCAAATGGCAATCACTAAAGTAGTTAGTAGAAACAAAATGTGGGAAAAAAAAACACCAGAAACTATCGTGATAGAAGAGGATCCAGACTTAGTTTTTCATCCAATCGATTTGACAATGGATGAATTTTTAGACACGATCAACAAAAAAACGCAAAATAATCCTAGCATAGAGATTAAAGAGAAAGGAACAGCGACCAAAAATACCGATTTTCAAGTAAATAAAACAAAAAAGGTAATTTATTTATTTCAAAATAGTTTTTTTTTAAAAAAAATTAAAAAGAAAAATTTTTTAAAGTTTTTTTTTTATTTTTTTTAGAAAAAGAGCAAATACAAGCTAAAAAGAAATAGAGAAAGAAAAATTAATTTTTTAGCAAAAAAAATACAAGAAGACATTGAATATTTAAATCATCATTGTAAATAATTTTTTTATTATAATAAAATATATTGTTTATTTCTTTTTTCTTTTTTTTAACGCTGCATTTCTTTCGTGTTTTCGATTAACGTAAGCTTCGTTTGATATTTTCCATCGTTTTACTTTTTTACCAACGCGTCCTAATTTACGATTAGATTTGTTATCTTTATATGTTTTTTTAGTTTTTCGTAAACATACTAATATATTTTTACAATTGCTTGGTATCCCTCTATTTTCTGTTTGCGTTTGTTGCGAGTTTGTTGTAGTACGTACAAAATCAATTTGATTATTTAAATAATTATCTACAGTTTTTTTTGATCTAGGTGTATATCTTGTGCGAGGCATTTTTTTAATATTTTTTTTGTTGTTAAAAAAATATATATTTATATAATATCATTTTTTTAATTTTTTTACAGATTTAATTATATAAAATAAAATGAGTGAAAATGAATTAACAAATATCTTGGCATTCTATCTTGAAGCCTATTGGCAACAATTTGCTAATTATTTGAACATGCATCGCTGTGTTATTGATGCCATTGACAACGATTACAATAGAAGTTATTTAAAAATATGTCGAGTCATTACGCTATTTTTTCAAGTTAATCCAGAAGAAAAATTTAATCCGCAATTTATATTAAAAACATTACAAAGATGGTTAATTGACGAACAACAAAAAAATAATTTTAAATTAATAAACAATTTAAACGAATTAATTAATAAAGTTAAAAATTTTGTAGAAGAACCCATGGAATATTAATTTTTTTACATTGTATAACATGTTGTAATTTTTTTTTAGATTAACTAAAAATAATGGAATCCATTTATGCAAAAGTTAACGAAGCCATCTACAAATATGGTAAACCTGTAATGAATACAGAATTTGTTATGAAGTCATACGAAGCCATATTTGTGGATGGCAACTCGATTTTTAATTTAAAAAACGTAGACATTATAGATGAAAAGGAGGACTATGAGATGGCCGATGACAATGAATACGATGATAGCGATGAATACGATGATGATGACGATGACGATGACCACAATGAATATTTGTATAATGGCGATGAATACGATAATGATGATGGCGATGAATACGATAATGATGATGGCGATGAATACGATAATGATGAATACGATGACGATGACCAATGGAAACAATGGAACAATGAACCTATGGAAATAGACAATTAAATTATTTTGTATTTTTTTTATTTTTAATGTCCCTTTAGTTTTGAGTGTTTTAAGAAATTTATTTTCTCAAAGCAGCCAAAACTAAAGGTATAAAAAATAAAAAAAAACAATGGATTGGAACTTTTTTTAATGTTCCTTTAGTTTAGACTATCCTTAAAAATTTATTTTCTAAGGGTAGCCAAAACTAAAGGTATAAATAAACTTTTGTTTACAATTATTATGAATATGAGATTGTTTTATATATTCAATACATAAAACAATTTCGTATTCATAACATTGTAACATATTTTTACTGAGCAGATGCAATCAAATATGTCGATTTATTGCTCTCCGACCAAATATATATTGGAATTTTTTTTATAACTTGTATTTTTTTTTGCTTTCAATAATAAATATTTTTTGATAATATGTTTGTCTATAATTTTTACCCATAATATTATATAATATTACCCATAACATTTTTTTAATACTATTAATACTTTTTTTAGCAACTAATTATACAAAAAAAAAATGGCTGAAGCTATGGAAAAAGAATTATGTTATTATTGCAAATTACCCTTTACTATTGATCAATTACTAAATCATCAATTAAAATGTAACACATCACAAGATTATGATTGTTTTAGCTGCGGAAAAAAAATTAAATTGTCAGATACTTGGGAACATGAATGTGAAATTTATCACGAGGAACGCGTAGAAAGAAATCAAACTAAATTATGTGTATTTTGTGGAAATCAAATTCAAAAAAACTACTATGATCAACACGCTATTGATTGTTTACATCGTTTTGAAAATGAATGGAAAGAAGTAATGGAGAAACAAAAAAATATTATTATGGATCAAAAACAAAGTTTAACTTTTTTAAACATGACTAATAATAACATTCTAAACAGTTTAGCAACTGTCAACAAACAAATAAACGCATTAACTAAACGAATGGACAACATGGGTTTGGAAATAAAAGAGTTTGTGAATAAAAACACATTTGAAAAAATATTGAACAACGTCAGCTTGGAAATGAAAGAATTTGTGAATAAAAGCACATTTGAAAAAGAATTGAAACTATATGATAATATATTAAATTATAATAAAAATATCAACGACAAATTCATGTCTGATAATTTAATTATAGAATTGGACCAAATGGATTTAAGATTGCAATCTAACGAAGCTTATCATACTCAACCTTCTTATACTGTAGATGGTTATTTCTATCGATTTAAAATTTTTGGTTACAGTAATCAAGAAGATAAAATGGGTATTTATTTTCAATTGATACAGTCTCCAAAAGATCATTCTTTAAAATGGCCGTTCATGAAAACTGTAACATGTACAGTTAAAAACGAATATATTGAAAACACAAAAATAATAGCCAATTATAGCGAACCGTTAAAAGAATGTTTTGAAAAACCTGCTCAAGCTTATAACCGAGCTATTGGAACAGATAGTTTTATAACCCATGAACAATTAAAAAAATTTTATATAAAAAACAATAAACTTATTATTCACGTTTCTTTTATATAATTTATTATGTATTTTTTTGTATTTAATTAATCATATAATTAATAAACTTATTATACACGTTTCTTTTATATAATGTATTTTTTATATTTTTTTTATATAACATTATATTTTTTTAGAATATTAAAAAAAATGAACAGTGCAATCATGAGAGATATAGCTGACTACATCACTACGTCTGATGTAAAAAAAATTAAAATGTTTTTAGAAATACCTTACGGTATAAGAGAGAAAATCAAAGATGGACTAGATTTAATGGAATATTTACAATACAAAGATTTCGTGTATCAAAACTATGAATACAATACTAACGAAGCTAAAATCAAACTTATTTTAAATTTGTTAAATGAAATCGGTAGAAAGGACATCTATAAAAAGTTTATAGTTAAATTTGAAAATCCGCCATCATACGAAGAAAGTGTTAATCCTCCACCGTATGCAGTACTGGATAATCGAGACAGATCCAATATAGATTTTCCAAACTTTAAAGTAGCAGATCCATTTTTGGCAATAAACGCACAATGGAAATATACTGGAGGTATACTGGAAAATCGGAGTTTTTGTGCAGAAAACGCAAAATGTAATACTCCGTATTATCCGCCTGAAGTTATTTGTTTAAAACAAAAAGAACTTTTGGACTATTATAATAAAAAATAATTTTTTTAAAAAAATTCTAACTTTTTTTTTTAATTTGTATATTTTTTTAGCAATGAAAAAAAATCAATTTAATAACATACTTAATGAATTACACGAATTTGATTCGATGAAGCAAAACAAGTTAAAAGAATGGAATTTCAACTATGATCTTGTTTTCAATCTTGTTACAAATGTTGAAACATGGTCCTTAGAAGATTTATGTAAAAGAAAATTAGCTTACAAAAAACTTTTGAACACTATTATACCAAATTTACAAAAACAAATTAGAGATTTATTGCATACGTATTTATATGGAAACGAAAAATTACCCTTCCTTCATTACTATTTTAACAAAATGAATGATATTTGGTTTGATAACATTATTAACGATATTAACAATGCCAATGATAATTATAAAAAACATTATTTATTTGTTCAGAAATTAATTATTCATTATGTTTATCGATTTTTTGAACAGGTTTATATAATGTTACGTTATAAAACTAAACAAGACAAATTAATTATGTCATCTCTTTTTAATATTTATATGCAATGTATAGATTGGTTAATTGAACAATGTAAATTTGTTTATGATCCTCATTTTAAACCTTGTTATATTTATAAATATGATTTTATTTAGAATGTTAAGAAAAAATTTACTTAGACATGCTAGAATACATCATGATTTAGAAGAATTTTTTTCAATAAAAGAAACCATGGTGAAACAATTGCAAATTAATAACTATCAAATAGGCTTTCATGATAAATACTATCGTGAATGGACTTTGAAAGATTTATGTAAAAGAAAGTTAGCTTCTGAAAAACTACTACGAATAGTCATACCAAAGTTACGTAAACAAATTAACAATTTGATGTATTCGTTTTTTCAAAATAATCAAAATATTTTATCACTATATTCTGTTTACAAATCACACGAAGACGATTGTTTTGAATTAATTGACAGACGTGCATTAATTAGACCGTTTTATTTGAATATTCAATTATCCATTGTTGATAATATATATAAACTTTTTGTAAATATTTATTATATTAATTGTTTTTCTGCTACTAAGCATCATAAATTAGTCATGAAATCTTTTTTTAATATTTATATGGAATGTATAGATTGGTTATTTAAACAACATGAATATGTTATTAATCCTTATTTTAAACCTAATAGAAATGACATGTATGATTTTATTTAACTTTTTTTTATTTTAGAATAAAAAAAATGAAACTAATTACTGTAGATCAAGATCAAGACCTTTTATTTTTTAACAGAGAAGAATCCGATATAATGACAAAATTTTTAAATGTCGATCATGAAAAGATTAATGATCCATCGACAATAAAAGCGTTTGGCAATATATTATTATTGGTACAAGAAGAAGTTTTAAAACAAACAAACTATTTACAAAACATTGAAAAAACAAAAGAAATACAACGAGACTTTTATAATTTTGTAAAACAATTATTATCAAAATAAATTTTTTTTATTTTTTTTAGATTCATAACAAAAAAAAATGAAACTTGTTAAAAATGATCAAATCAGATTTGTTAGTTACAACCCTCAAGAAGCAAGAATACTAATAAAGATAGCAGAAGACCGATACGGATCCGATAGTTGTAAAGTGTTGGCAGAATTTTATCGTATTGGTGTTATTATAGACGAAGAAATTCAAAAACGCACGAACAATTTTACAAATAAAGAACTCTTTGAAAATATCAATAACAGTTTTGAAAACTTTGTTAAAAGTTTATTATGAGAATAAAAACAAAATTTTACACTTTTATAATTTTGTAACAAAACAAGTATTATCAAATTTTGTAACAAAACAAGTATTATCAAAATAAATTTTTTTTATTTTTTTATAGATTCATAATGAAATTACAAAATTATAATTTATACGATACCAATACTCATATCAGCTTTAACCGCGAAGAATATAGAATTTTTATGGAATTAGCTATAAATCGTTATGGAAACAATAATTTTAAAGTTTTAAAAGAATTTCATCGTATTGCTGTATTGATTGACTACGAAATACGTAAAAAAACATTTAATTTTACAAACGAAGAACTTTTTTATTTAATTAATAATAATTTTAAAAATTTTGTTAAAATGTTTGTATGAGAAAAAAAACAAAATTTTACATTAATAAATTTTTTCATTTAATATATTGTCTTTTTCCTTTTTTATAATATGATAACATTCCAATACATCTTTTTGTAAATATAATCCTCCAACTAATCCTTTACAATAATAACACAATTGTTGAACTATTATTTTTAAACTATTTACATAGTTTATTTTTTTATACAATTTATCTATACACGTAAAATAATAATAAAATGTTTTTAACACATCAAGACAATGTTCAATAACTTCACTATAATTATGTAAACACGCGTCGGGATAAAATACGCGATGCGGAAGACATTTAAATAACAATTCAAGAACTTCTTTCAATTCTATTTGATATGTTTCTATCGATTTTAAATCTTTAATTTTAAAACCGTATACTCTTTTACAACTATCCAATTCGCTTTCTTCAGCTAAAAGAACTTTATCCATCCAAATACCTTGATTTAAATGTGTTTCCTGTAAATGTTTTTTTAAATCTAAATTGAGTTGATATAAATATAACAAACAATCGTCCGTCGCATTAAAAGACATTTTGTTAAATGAATTTTTTTATTTACATATTTACAATTTTACATTTAAATACAATAACAACAACCGCGGCACCGTTCAAATAAACCTTGAATGAACGGGCACACGGTTGTCACACAACAGTGTTCGTGATCGCTTTGATCGTCGCACTGGCAGCATCCTATACATAATATACGTCTATCATATGGTCTCCTTGGCGTTCCAAATTCATTTAAATGTTCGTCTATACGTCTTACAATTCTATCAAGTATACGTACTTGTTCTAAAAAAATAATTTTTTTTAACTATTATATTTTTTTTGTTGTTTTAAAAAAAATATTATATTAAAAAAATATTATGTTTATAATCAATATTAATTTACCATCATCTATTTCAGGAATGTCGTCGAATATTTCTAATTGATTTTCATACACTTCCTCGTCTGATTCCTCAAGTGGTATTGTTTCTACCACTTGAGGTACATATATTTGAGGCTTTTTATATTCGTTTTCCGGAACATAGGGTTTAACAATCTAGAAAAAAAACACAATCACTTAAAAAAATACAAAAACATTTATTTTTTTTTCAAAAAACAATAAACTTACAGCTATTGGTTTGACGAATAATTGTCGTCGTACTTTTATTTTTTTGTATTCTTGAATTTTTTTTACTTTACCCATTTTATAATAGATAATAAAATTTTTACAAAAAAAATCTTTTTATATTTTTTTTTATAACGCTAGATTAACTTTAAACAAAAGAAAATCTTTTTTTTATTTAATAAAAATTTAACGGGATTAAAATATATTATGACGTTATTTTATGACGTATTATTTATGACGGATGGGAACGGGTTGGGAATGGAATGAACAGAAGTCTATAATCCGAGAAGGGACAATCATCAGATAGATATCTAGAAATTCCTGAAAGCAGATTTCCAAATCTTAGTTAGTTTTTATGTAGCTTAGCATGACAGTTAGAACTGCAAACATCCCAAATAAATCAACTTGCTTTCTGTTTGAAATCTTATATAATTAATAAGCTCATTAATAAGATGGTCCAGTAGAGGTAAAGTGATAGAAAGCTTAAAATAATCAGATGATGAGTGATTATCATGATTAATTTGCTTTCCACATTTTCTAGTTTTTTGTTTTCTTTTATATTTAAAGTCATAGCTAATTCAAAAGCAATATTAGACCAGTTGTACCAATATAAATAAATACCAAATTTAATCTCTTGAAGCGTGTTTTTTTAATTGTCAATTTCAAACTTCTGAAATTTGATACATGTCGTATTGCTTATCTTGGAGTCTAATTACAATCTAAAAAATTCAATCCATCAAATTTTGGTTAAAACTAAAGTTACATTGAAATAAAATTCAAAAATCAACTATGAAGAGACTTTAGCTGAAAAAAAATGCCTAGATTTTTCTATTTTTGAACCCAACAAGTAAAACAGACATTGGTTAGTTTTTCTTTACCAACAGAAAGATCACTATTTAAACATGCCTGTAATTTTAATTAAGGACAGTCAATAAATCTTAAGAAATCTTTACGAGTTTTATAGTTATTGCCTACATATCTTATAACGATAGACTACTGTTTAAGATTACCACAATCAGATGCTTTATCAGCTAAAATTAAATAGTATTTACTATTATTGATTTCAGAAATAAGAATCTTCTCAAAAGCCTCACTACAACACTCCGTAAGTTGATTTTGTGTGGTTTAAGAAATAATGTAACAATTTTAGGGGCTGATACTAAATGATTTTATAAGATAGTGTCACCTGCATAAATTCCAAAATTAAGTAGTTCGAAAATATTTCCTTCAACTCTTTCTTGAGGACTATCTTATATTATAGTCTCCAATATTGTGTTATGTTTGATTCTAATTAACAATAGAATCAACTTATCCTCTTTAATTAAAGCTTCAATTTGAAGATTAAATTTTTTTTTTTGAAGAAATAAAAATTTAATATTTTAATTATTTACATTTATAGCAAAAAACAATAAAAATTGTTTATATAGCTCTGTGGCAAAACTATTATTTATAGTATTTACCTGTTTAATAAAATAATGTTTTAATTAAATGTTATAAGAATTTTAAAACAATAAGCACAGAAACAGTTGTATGTAAGTAAACTAGTTACAGTTATAAAAAGCTAGCTATTTTTATTACATATAGTCGGTGAAAACATAGTTGAAAATATAGCTTAAATCTGCAGAAGTTTTCTCAAAACCTTGTTTCATTTTAAAATATGGCTTAAAAACATTTATATTAGGGCATTTTCAAACCAAAAGTTTAATTACGAAATTAAACTGGTGAGATATTTCAAACCATTTCGCTTTGTAAACAATTTTTTTCGCAACATTTAATGTTATAAATGTGAATCAATAGCATTTGTAACAATTTTTTTTCAAAACATATCCTCCATAATTACCAACTTACTAAGAAAATAATAAAGGCGCTTTGCTTATTTGAATATAGCTGGGCTTAAAAAGACTGAGAAATAAGTACAGCCACAAGGCAAAAAACAATCTAGCCACGGGCTACGAGTGTTGACGGCATACGATTTTTGAATAAAAATATATTACGTAAAAAAAACAATAATTTAGTCAGCTTATGCCGTAAAATCAGGTTGTTTGTGGCTTAGCCACAAACCGATATGCAACGACCGATCTTTTTTTTAATTCCGGTTTGTTTTGGTTTTAAGTAATCGCTTTTAAAGCCGAATTTACACAGTAAATAAAAATAAACTTATTTTAATTATTTATATTATTTTCATTTTAAAAATATGTTGGAGTATTATATATTTTTTTTTTTGTTGATCATTTTAAGGTGTAGCTTTAGCCACAACGGCTATACCCTAGATCCGCACCTGAAGATCATAGCTATTTTTTTGCGTAAAAAGAAGTTTCTAACCCCATTATTATTTTAATCAGAGATTAATGTTGTGTATAATGTTTCTATGCACTTAATTAAGGTTTTTTTTTGATTTTCTTTTAAATGTTATCTTCTTTATATAAATCGTAGTAAATCCATTTTAAAACTGAGACAAAAATGAAGGAAAGAGTTATGACACACCGTAAGAATATTGAAAAAAGTTATTGAATCACTTTAAAAATTTTTTGACGCTAACAAAAAATGTCTAGATAAATTTTTAAAGTGATTCAATAACTTTTTTCAATATTCTTACGGTGTGTCATAACTCTTTCCTTCATTTTTGTCTCAGTTTTAAAATGGATTTACTACGCGACATTATGGCTTTATATGCAAAATTTTCCAATTCCTAATTTTTTCCTTTTCCCGTTTACAAAAAAACTCTAACTAACATTAAAGTTCTGCTTTCAACACTAGTCAAAAAGTAGGTGGCGTCAAGATTATTTGACTAACTAACGTCAAAATTCTCCTTTTAACACTAATCAAAGTTTAAATAAAATAATATTTTGAATAATTTTTTGAATAAAATAATATTTCGAACAATTTGATATAAAGTCAGGTTTATATTCAATGGTAATTAAATATAAAACTTTATAATACATTTTAATATTTAAAATATTAAACAATAATGAATAAAATTATGTTGTCAGATCGTTGTAATGAAAAAAATTTTTTTACATTTAAATTTAGTAAATATCGGTTAAAAATTTTTTTCAATATTGTTTATGATAAAATGGAGTACTATTATACAACTTAAGAACTCCCCACAAACAGCCGAGAGCCGCCGAGAAGGAGGGGCAAAAGAGGCAGAAATGCCCCGGGCGCCAAGATAATAGGGGGTGCCAGAAGACAAAAGATAAAAAAATTTAATAAGATTTTAATTACAAAAAAGTAAAAAAAATATTTTTATTGACGCAAAAATTTGATTGAGTCATTATTATATAAAATATTATATTTCAAACATAAATTAAGTTTACTTGGTGATAAACATAGCAATTAACTTTCCTTTATTTATATTACAAGAAAATTATAGTTTTAAATAATTTATTTCTTTTCGGCAGGGTATGGGTTACGGTTGATGCGGAAAAAAAAGTAAATTTTGACTTGTTTTTATATTGACGTAATTTGAAGTAGACACAAGGTCTTAACAAAATATTTTATTGTTAAAGATAAATTTTGCTTGGTTGTTTGAAAAAAAAAATCACATAAATACTTTTCTGATTATTCTGAAAAAAAATTTAATCACGACTTTAAATAGCAAAATAAAAACAAATTCATTAACTTTATTTATTAAGATTTAACAAACCCTTAAGTTTAAATCTCAACGCAAATAAAAAAATAATCAATAAAAATAATGAAAAAAGAATCAAAGTCAAGACTTATAACTACAAGCTGGTTTCTCTCATCTATTTTGTGCAAGGTGACGGAGAGAACTGTCACAGATAGGACTATGAAAAACTGTGTACAAAGTCTCAACAACCAACTCAGTGTCAGACAACACTTCTTACTAAGAATCATGCTTTTTGGCATGAATCTTATAAAAAAGTTGTTGTGTGTCACAGTTTTGAATGCTTTGGCGAAGTTGGTAAAATTTATGTAAACCAGGTGTATTTGGAGAATAAACGTCCTAGAGGGAATTAACGATAAGTGGCTTCCCTCAAGGATTAGTTCTTACATCACTGCTATTTGTGTTCTTCATGAACAACTTAATAAACTGCATTTATAACCGTAAAAAATTATACGCCAATGATGGCGTATTATAATATAATAATAATATAATATTATAATATAATAATAATATAATAATAATTATTTTCCTCTGATTATGAAAAACAGTATTGACAGTATTGACAGCGCTGTAAACTGCTAATACAAAGGCCTTGTAAATTTTAACATCAAGAAGTAGAAAGTAACGCAAGTTGGTAGTCGTCGCAAAAAATAATAATGCCATAGCTGACATTAAAGGTAACGAACGCAATCTCCAGGAAGGATTGAGCAAGAACTTCGAAAACTAATATCTGACAACCTCAAAGTCAAAGTACAAGTGGAAGCTGCAGCTTGGGTAGACAATCAAATGCTTGGTTGTCTCAAAAAATCATTTTGGTTTAGATCTCTCCAGCTGTAAATTCCAATTAGGAGGTCCCTAAGCACTGTTGTCTTATGTAAAAAAACGTTGTCTCCCTGCATGTAGTAAAAATCACACTTTTAAAAAGTTCCCTTGAAATCGATTTTTTGAGGGATTAGGGGCAAGTGGGTAGCTCCGGACACTTAAGGAGATAATAGATTCTACACATGCACTAGCAGAAAACAAGTCAAAAGACTTTTTTAAAAGTATAAACAATTATCAATCGAATTAGAAACAAAAAATATTTATTGTGTACCTTAATAATATACAAAACATAAAAGAAAAAATGTTAGAAAAAAATCATGCTTCAAAATTAGAGCGTAGCCCCGGACACATAGTTTAACGATAATTTTACCTCTTAGACTGTTCTCAACAGCATTAGACTGTTCTCAACACATTTTTAAAAAAATCGCCTTTAAAAATCGCCTCTGATATGTAAAGAATGGTAATGAAAATGTCATCATTTAGAAACACAAACATTAGCTTTTTACTTATGAAAATATACACTTTAAAAACACTTTTTTCAAATCTTAGACTTTTTTTATTGGAATTAAATGAACTACTATTATTTATGTTTTCTTTTATTACTAATATTTGATAAACCTAGTCGTAGCTTCATCAAAAGTAGGAGGAAGTGATTTTCATAGCTC